GTCAAGGTTCTCGGTACTCCCATTGACACCATCATCACCACAGAGGACCGAGAGCTCTTTGCTCGCAGCATGGAGTCGATTGGCGAGAAGTGCGCCAAGTCTGCGTCCGCCAACAACGTAGAAGAGGCTATGCGCGTTGTCAAGGACATTGGCTTCCCTGTCATTGTCCGAGCTGCCTACGCCCTTGGTGGGCTCGGAAGTGGTTTCGCCAACAACGAACCAGAGCTGCTCGATCTCTGCAACAAGGCTTTTGCTGCCAGCCCCCAGATCCTCATCGAGCGCAGTATGAAGGGCTGGAAGGAGATCGAATACGAAGTCGTCCGAGACTGCAGAGACAACTGCATCACAGTCTGCAACATGGAGAACTTCGATCCCCTTGGTATCCATACGGGAGACTCTATCGTCGTTGCGCCTTCGCAAACTCTGTCCGACACTGACTACAACATGCTCCGAACGACCGCTGTCAACGTCATCCGCCATCTCGGTGTTGTCGGTGAATGTAACATTCAGTACGCACTGAACCCATTCTCGAAGGAGTACTGCATCATCGAGGTGAACGCTCGTCTGTCGCGTTCTTCCGCTCTTGCTTCCAAGGCGACCGGATATCCCCTTGCTTTCGTCGCCGCCAAGCTCGGTTTGAACATCCCTCTCAATGAGATTTCCAACTCAGTTACACGGTCCACCTGTGCTTGCTTCGAGCCATCGCTCGACTATGTCGTCGTCAAGATTCCTCGTTGGGACTTGAAGAAGTTCACTCGTGTGTCCACCCTCCTTGGTTCATCCATGAAGAGTGTTGGTGAGGTCATGAGTATTGGTCGTACCTTCGAAGAAGCCATCCAGAAGGCCATTCGCGAGATCGACCCCAGCAACCTTGGTTTCAACGAGACCCCAGCTCTGATGGAGATCGACCAGGAACTGCAAACACCTTCAGACCAGCGCCTGTTCGCTATCGCCAACGCCATGAAGGCCGGCTACAGTGTTGACAAGATTTGGGAAATGACCCAGATTGACAAGTGGTTCCTCAGCCGCCTCAAGTCCCTCAGTGACTTTGAGAAGTCAATGGCGAGCTACAACACCGTCAGCATCACCATGCCACTGCTGAAGAAGGCCAAGCAGTTGGGTTTCTCCGATCGCCAACTTGCCAAGTTCTGGGCTTCCAACGAGCTTGCCGTGCGTCGCGTGCGTGTTGATGCTGGTATCTTCCCCGTCGTCAAGCAGATCGATACAGTCGCCGCTGAGTTCCCCGCTGTGACCAACTACCTCTACTTGACGTACAACGCCAAGGAGCATGACATTAGCTTCAACGACAAGGGTGTCATGGTGCTCGGTTCTGGTGTGTACCGTATTGGATCTTCGGTCGAGTTCGACTGGTGCTCTGTTCGCGCTATCCGCACTCTCAGAGAACAGGGCTTCAAGACCGTCATGTTGAACTACGTAAGTACTGACCTTTGCTATTACTCTTTCATTTGCCATGTTACCCCGCATCTTTGTCCGCTCAAACAGCTGTACCGGACATACGACAAGGTAGCCTGGTGCCTTCGCAACATTTTCGTGGTTCGATCGCAAACCACTTAGATCTGCGAATACCTCCAGGCTATGACGAGAGATTTCCTACTTCCCTCTCTCCGTCACTGAACACCTCCTGGCTACCGCCAAACAATTTCCTTCTTTTCCCAAACATTATCGTACATCGCCAGGCTAGGTTCAAATACTAACAAGTCGATAGAACCCAGAGACCGTGTCGACTGATTACGATGAAGCAGACCGCCTCTATTTCGAGAACATTAGCGTCGAAACAGGTAAGTTTTGATTATATGAAGTGTATGTGAGACGAATATTGACTTCGTACCCAGTCATGGACATCTACACCATGGAGAACTCCAGCGGCGTTATTGTCTCTATGGGAGGCCAAACCTCCAACAACATCGCTCTACCCCTGCACCGCATGAACGTCAAGATCCTTGGTACCTCTCCAGAGATGATCGACAACGCGGAGAACCGATACAAGTTCTCTCGTATGTTGGATCGCATCAACGTCGATCAGCCCGCCTGGAAGGAGCTTACCAGCATCGACGAGGCGATGGAGTTCTGCGACCGTGTATCCTACCCTGTCTTGGTTCGTCCCTCATACGTCCTCTCTGGAGCTGCCATGAACACTGTCTACTCCAAGCACGATCTGGCCAACTATCTCAACCAAGCCGCCGATGTATCCAAGGAGCATCCCGTCGTTATCACCAAGTACATTGAGAATGCGAAGGAGATTGAGATGGATGCCGTGGCCCGCAACGGAACCATGATTGGCCACTTCATCTCTGAGCACGTCGAGAATGCTGGTGTCCACTCTGGTGACGCTACGCTGATCCTGCCACCGCAAGACTTGGACCCAGAGACCATACGCCAGATCGAAGATGCTACTGTAAGTTTTCAATCTTAACTCCTATATGAGAACTATACTAACAGACTTCTAGCGTAAGATAGGCCAAGCCTTGAATATTACTGGACCCTACAACATCCAGTTCATTGCCAAGGACAACGAGATCAAGGTCATTGAGTGCAATGTCCGCGCGTCCCGATCTTTCCCATTCGTCTCCAAGGTCATGGGTGTCGACCTGATCGAGATGGCTACCAAGGCCATGTCTGGCTTGCATGTTACGGAGTACCCTCCCACCAACATTCCTGCGGATTACGTTGGTGTCAAGGTTCCTCAGTTCTCCTTCTCTCGTCTCTCTGGAGCCGATCCTGTCCTTGGTGTTGAGATGGCCTCTACTGGCGAGGTTGCTTGCTTCGGTCGCACCAAGTACGAGGCCTACATTAAGGGTCTCATCGCCACCGGCTTCAGGCTGCCGAAGAAGAACATCCTGCTGTCCATTGGTTCATTCAAGGACAAGCTGGAGATGTTGCCTTCGATTGAGCGTCTGCACAAGATGGGCTACAACCTCTTCGCTACTGCCGGAACTGCCGACTACATCCAAGAGCACGGCATTCCAGTCAAGTTCTTGGAGGTGTTGTCCAGTGGTGAACACGACGAGCAGAAGCAGGAGTACTCGCTCACTCAGCATTTGTCCAACAACCTCATCGACTTGTACATCAACCTGCCATCAAGCAACCGCTTCCGTCGACCCGCCAACTACATGAGCAGAGGATACCAAACCCGTCGCATGGCTGTGGACTACCAAACTCCTCTGGTCACGAACGTCAAGAACGCGAAGTTGTTGATTGAGGCTATTGCTCGTCACTACGACATGGAGATCAGCAAGGTGGACTTCCAGGAGTTTGCCGCAGCCCCTGGAGCGCACGACTCGTCGTCTGGGCCCATGTCCAAGCTCAGCGGCTCGCTGTCTCTTCAGCAGCTTCTGGCAAGATCGCCCTTCAAGAGGGAGCATATCACCTCTGTCAAGCAGTTCTCACGTGCAGACCTTCATCTGCTGTTCACTATCGCTCAGGAGATGCGTCTAGGTACTCAGCGTCAGGGCTGCCTTGACATCCTCAAAGGCCGTGTCCTTTGCACCCTGTTCTGCGAGCCATCGACTAGAACTTCTGCTTCTTTCGATGCTGCCATGAAGCGTCTCGGTGGTGAGGTGGTTGTCATCAACGAGTTGGTGTCGTCTACACAGAAGGGCGAGTCTATCGCCGACACGATCCGCACTCTGGGCTGCTACGGCGATGCCATTGTTCTCCGTCACCCATCTGAGGAGTCGATCAACATCGCCACCAAGTTCTCGGATGTGCCAATCATCAACGCTGGTAACGGCAGCCGTGAGCACCCCACGCAGGCTCTTCTCGACATCTTCACTATCCGAGAGGAACTTGGCACGGTGAACGGCCTCAACATCACCTTCGTCGGTGACCTCAAGTACGGCCGAACAGTTCACTCCCTTTGTGAACTCCTTTCCCACTACGATGTCACCATCAACCTTGTTTCGCCCGCGTCCCTGCCCATGCCTTCGGGCGTCACCGACGCTCTCAAGGCCCGGGGTCAGCTGAACAAGGTCACCACCGAGCTGACCGACGACATCGTCGCTTCGTCGGACGTCATGTACTGCACTCGTGTGCAGAAGGAGCGCTTCCCAGATGTCGCCACCTACGAGGCCGTGAAGGATGCGTTCGTCATTGACAACAAGCTGCTCAAGGGAGCTAAGGCGAACATGATTGTCATGCACCCGCTGCCCAGGAACAACGAGATTAACGAGGAGGTGGACTTTGATCCTAGGGCGGCCTACTTCAGACAGGTAAGTCTCACCGCGCTCCAGTGGAGCAACCCAGCTAACATGCTTGTAGATGAGATATGGCCTGTACACGCGTATGGCGCTTCTCGCCATGGTCATGGCTCCTTAGTCAGACCATGCAGCGCACGATTTCATGGCAGGCGTTTGACGGTTTTCACGGAAACGAACAAAGCAACAAAAAGTTCTGCTTCATCCTACTTTCCTTTCGGGTTTATACCATCTTATAGACGAGCGTCATCCACAGATCTTGTAGATAGATACTCAAGCATTTACACAGGAGTTCTGGATATGGGTAAAGGGCACATGTATGATGTAAAATTTTCAACATCAGTACGGGGGGAAGCTATTTCATTTTTTCTGCAGCATGTCTCGGTGTTATTCTTCTGCTATGGGTTAAGAGGGGGAACTTTATTTCATTTTTACTTCGATCTCTTCTGGCGTTGGGTGGGTCCCTCATCGAGGTTGGGACTTGGATCGGTATCGGGGTGCATCATCGGAAAGCCAACTAGGGGCATTATGGAAATGGATCTGCATGGTACGGAGTCGATGGAATTGGGCACAATATGGAATGTGAATGGAGGTAGTAATTACTACTGGTAATTGGGAAGACGCCAGACGCCTCGCCCTTGGTGTATACAATAAACAAATTCCCCACACGCAAAGTCGTCAGGCTTTGCGTAATCGCATCAAAACTTCTGAACACGTCGTATGCTCTTCGTAATGGTTCTGTGTCATATTTCAGAGCTGTCGTTTCGTGCCTTTGTCGGCGTGACTCTAGTGACCGAGGCATCGTCCCCAACCTATTATTCGTTAGCTTTTCGTTCGAGAGATCGCGCGCTACAAAAGTGTTCGCTCTCGGGGTGTCACCATCTACGCAAGGCAGGCAGGTACACACTGATAACGAGCACCTTCATGAAATGCCATCCGCAGTGAACTTACCAGGAAGACCACAGCCGAAGCCAACAAAGAGATAGATCAAAAAAATGACGACGAGCGTCAGCAGCACCATCAGCTTGACGTTCTTCCACCACATCCGCCTCTTGAGTGTCCTCGACCGGACCCTGAAGTCGCGCGCGTTCTCGCCCAACCTGCCGGTCTTGTCGACCAATACACTCATGTGCTCGCCCCTCTCCAGCACGCGTTCAATATTCTCCGTCATGATTTCTCTGACGCCTTCAATCTCGCGCTGAGCAGTTCTGAGCGCATCTTGCTGACCGGCCTGCGTACCACCCTGCTCCACCATCATCCTCTTCAACGCGCCATTGAAACTCGCGCATCCGTACGGCGGCAAGTCGTGGAAATTCGTGCTTCCGGGCTCAAATTCAGCAAAGAACTTCTTCTCAAGGTTTGTTAGGAAGCCAAAGGGTATGCGCTGGCCGAGGTCGCGCTCAGCAATGACAAGGAAAGTCAGGCCACCAGCTGTCGATTGGTTGTTGGGGAAGTCTGAAGGCGATTTTACGAGGCAGTGGATGAAAAACTTAGATTGATCGATAGTCTTGTGGGCGGATTTGTCGTGGGCGATGCGTGGGAGGACGAGGGAGACGAGCGAGGAGGCGTTTGAGGAGGCCGAGGCGGTGTGTTCGGTGAGGACGGTGGTGTTGTGGGCTATGCATGCGCTGTGGTGTTGTTAGTCGCGTTACTCACAATATACATTGCGTGATAGGTATGTCGTACTAGAGCAGCGGCGTAGAAGAAGACGAAGACGCCATGTTGACGGCTGGCGGAGGAAGACCAGGGCTTCTGCGCTTAGCTGGAGGTACTTTTGCTCGTTTGCGCGACTTGGGGTTGGAAGGGGCTTTCGAAAGGGCAATGAGTCCTCGAGAGACTAGGTCGTTGTGATGGAGTGGGTCTTGAGTGGTGATAGTAGCCGTTGGTTGTGATGGTGCAGCTGCGGAAGGAGAGCCACTAAAGCTGGGGATGCTGCCTCTAGCCATGTGCGTCATAGCCAAGCCGGTTCACGCCTGATGCGCTAATGCGAGGATCGCGCTTGCGATGGGGATTGACTGAATGGGGCGTTGCTTGTGATTTTAGTCGCTTTGGCGTCTGCTTGCGCGTGCGAGAGAATTGTCGCGAGTACCAATTGCGAGGACTGCTCTCCTTTCAATTGTGGTGGTTGCGATCGCGTCGCGTCAAGGATCTGCCTGTCACATTTTATTTGGGTGATTCCGTTTGCACTGCACCTCGACACCCCACACTGCTCGGCGCGCGCATACAGCACGGTTACACAGACAGCTAGGGTATAATTTTCACGCAAGATGGTTCGCGTCAAGAATCGCTACCTGGTGGTCAACTTCCTATACCCAGAGCCTCCCGCCAAGAGCAAGACGCAACTCCCAGATGTCGTCCAGATCCACTCGCCAACGCCTGATGCTCTCAAGCAGGGCGCCATTGTACGCATGATACGGGATGGAGTTGAAGACTTATTTGGCGACTATGGTTCGGGTATGGTGTCTTCGGGTCTGAAAGGTGCGCACTCCTCTGAGCCTCACAAACGCCTTACTAACGAATAGCACAGTCAACTACTACTCCCCCTCGACCAGCACGGCCATAATACGATGTCCACGAGACCACTACGAAATGGTCTGGGCAGCCCTCACATACATTACCCACCTCCCCAAACCCCTCGATACACCTGTCGTAATAAGAGTCGTAAGAGTTAGCGGTACGATCAAGAAGGCTGAAGAGGAGGTTATCCGGCAGTCACAACATATCATCAAGAGAGCAAGAGCTTGGGATGGTGCTGGAGAGCTGCCGATGCTACAAAGTGTAGAGAAGGCGGCGGATAAAGAGAGACAGCGTGAGAGCGAAGTGCTTGCTCGAATCGATGGTGGGGATGAGAGTGAGGACATGAGCGAGTAGGCGCAAGTCGCGTCTTCGTCGTGCTTCTCTCATTTGCTATGCCGAGCCTACTGTATAGTGGGTAGCATCATCGCACGCCCATGAACGCTCGGCGACGCACCTTGACTATGCCTTTGCACCGGACGTACCCACCTATGTCCCTCCTTACCAAAGTGTACTGGGTCAAGGGGGCAGATGCGACATCGTGGCAATACACACCTCTCCCAACAGCTGGAGTACGAGCGATACATATACCCACTATCGTCGGCCATATCCCTCTGGTAGAAGGCATCTCGGCTCAGCCCACGTATACTCTATACGCAACTGAATGGGCAAGCCTCTGGCTTAGCAAAAGAACCATCTCTTCTCTCGATATCATACCTAAGTAGGTAACCCTCTGGCCCAAAAACGGTGCTCACAGGCATACATCGTTCTCCATCTCATTGGCAGGTTCCTGGAACAGTTGGTACATTTTTGAAAGATCTCGACAGAATCGATATAAGATACGGCTACAAAGCGGTTTAGCAGATAGCAACATCTCGCAAGATGAATTATATACATTGATTGATACATGTGTCTAGTCGTACAAAACGCAGACCCTTAATTCGGTCTCAGCATAGCGATTATACTCGCCGTGATAACAGCTCCCGCCGCAGCACCTTGAAGAATGGCGCTGGTGTAGTCGATTCGTCGCATCGAAATAACGCGATCGCTCACAATGTCGTGTGCTATGAAGCTCGCCTTTTGCTGCAAGCTTTCCAGCTTGGAGCGAGGAGCGGCGTGAGATGGTGCGCTTTCTTCAGCGACAGCTATGCGTTCCTCGGGTGGTAAAGCCTCTTCTTCTGGTGTGAGGGTCTCAGCTTCTGGAACTACGGTGGCTGGCAGTGGGTCAACAGCTGCTTCAGGAACGACTTCTGGGATAAGGCCCGCTTCGACTGGCGATCCAATGTTTGTACCAGCTGTGGGCGACTCCTCAATGACCTCAGATACTACAGGCGCCGAGGCTTTTGCAGGTGCGTCGGTATGATCTACGACCCGGTCGATCTCCTCTTCAATCGCCGTCAGACCTCGAGAGGCTGATGCGGGTGCGACTGCTGCAGCACCGACTGATGGTGCGGCGGCATCCATAGCAAGCTTTTGGTGTGCCTCCAACGTATTCTTGATCTCCCTGACCATCCTCCTCCTCCGCCAGGGCTCCAAGATAGCCAGACTCAATAACAACAGGAAGATGTTGACACCCATGAGGCCAAACGTGACCCATGTACTATTCCTTCGGATAGTATCACTCCATATTTGCTCTTCATGGTATTGTGCACGTTCTCTCTTCTCAAGCTGTGCCCGCGCGTCCTCCAAGGCGTTCTCGGCGTTTGCAACAGCGTCTTTGGCTTCGCGGACGGCTTGGTCGTTGACGTGTTCGGAGCGGATGAGAGCCATGTAGCGTTCGAGATCGCCGTTTGACCACGAATGCTTGCGTTCGAGGAGGGCGACGACTTCTTTCTGCGAGGTAGCTTGGTGGGCAAGGGCGGTATCGAGGGCTTGTTTGGCGGAATCAATGGCTGAGCGTCGGGCTTTGACGAGTTTCTCTGTCTGGTGTTAGCTGTCGCATCGCCATAATCGACGACTTGTGTATGTACCTTGCTCTTTGATTTCCCTCCTGAGTGCCTCTACCCCAGAGTAGTCGGTGCCAGTGTATGTGTTGACCTTTTGCGTGACCACAGCAAGCTTCGGCAGCAGCTCATCCATGGCCTCGGAGAAGCGTTTGGAAAGACTCCATCTCTGCTTCTCTTGGTGCGAAGGCAGGTGTTCATCCGGCACGCGAGCAATGTTATCTAAAGATTCGTCCTCCTTGGGTGGTTCCGGCTCTTGTGGAGGTGGTTCTTTGACCTCAGGGGCGGGTGTTTCTGTCAAGGCAGCCACCGAAGTCTCAGCTGCTCTCTTGATAGCTTTCTGATCCTCTAGCAGAGCGTTGAGTCTTCGCTCTAACCGCTCTTGGTCCTCTGGCGATGGTGTGGATGCTGTTAATCTGGTTGGAGGTGGCTGGATGGGATTCGCATCGTCTGCGGGCGGTGGCATTGCGATAGGACCCGACGACTTCGGCGGTTTTCCCTCTTCCATCCATCTTGTCGAGCTTGCAAAGGTACGCCGCGACCGATTTGCGGATACGTTGGCGCTCAATTGTGTCTTTCCATCCCACCTCGACGCACCAGAAGCTGTGCGATACCTATAACTCCAGCATACCGACGATGCGCTGCGGGCGACATTGCTGAAAGAACGCGAAGAAGGAGCTACCGTACTGGCGATAAGCGAGCGTGAAGCATGCTGAAGCAGTGGCCTCATTCTTGTCTCTGCCCTCACATGGAGAGCGCCTGAGCTGGATGACGAATGACGAAAATGCGCCAAAATGCGGACCCCCGAAGCGGGCGGGCGGCGTCGCAGCGAGCGCTGACGTGCCAAGGCGCGTGGGGTTGCGGCATGACGGTGACTGGCCCTCTCAGCTCTAGCAACCCGTCCCTTATTTGCAGACTGCCGGCATTCCGATTAAGGGTTTCCTAGCGCCCTGGCCTAATCTTTTAGATGGTGTTGATATCTGGCGGGGTGCTTCTCACTCCTACATTCACACCTCCACCGTAAACCAGCACCATAGTCGCTCGTTTAGTATTCCAACATGGGTTCAGCACAGATCGATCTGGCACAATTGCCTGCCATGAAGAGTGACCCCAAGGTAGAGATCTTTTGACACGATTGGTTCGTCTCAACTAACAAGCACAGTTCATCTTCTTCACCGACTTCGACGGCACAATCACCCTCCAAGACTCCAATGACTTCATGACCGACAACATTGGCTACGGCCGCGACAAACGCCGTGCGGGCAACATCGCCTGCCTCAACAACGAAATCTCCTTCCGCGACTCCTTCCGCGACATGATGGACAGCGTCACAAAGCCCTACGACCAATGTATCCAGTACCTCGTCGACAACATCAAGCTGGACCCTGGCTTCAAGGGCTTCTTCGAGTGGTCGCTAGAGAACAATATCCCGGTCGTAGTACTGAGCTCGGGCATGGAGCCAGTCATCAAGGCGCTCTTGGAGAAGTTGGTTGGGCCAGATGCAAGCAAGATGCAAGTCCTGGGCAACCACGTCGGCCCACGCGAAGGAAAGAACATTAACGAGGAGGGTGGATGGCAGATCTTGTTCAAGCACCCAGAGTCTGGCTTCGGTCACGATAAGTCCATTGAACTGCGAAAGTACTCGAGCCTACCCGAGAACCTCCGACCAACAATGTTCTACGCCGGTGATGGTGTATCCGATCTCTCCGCAGCACGCGAGACCGACTTGCTCTTCGCCAAGAAGGGTCACGATCTGATCAGCTACTGCGCGCGCGAGGATGTGCCGTTCACAGTCTTCGAGGATTGGTCCAACATCCTGGCTAAGTGCAAGAGCATCGTTGAGGGAAAGACCACTGTTCAAGCGGCCGCCAAGGAAGGTTACGAGGCGTACAAGAGCGGCGCTGCTGGCATCGACGTTCAGACGGCGAAATAAGTGGAAGCTCGGAAATTTTGCGTAGATCCACCCAACAGCCTGGGACTTGGGGTCGTCTATGCTGCGGCGCAGTAGACACCGAATCCTCCTGATGATGTGCGCACGGCAGTGGCTGCGGCGCGGACGAATCCATGTGAAGATGGATCAGATCCCTCAGGATTATCATAGACGAAAAGGTTGGACGATATAGAAAGACCATAGACACGACTACACGATAGACTAGAACCTTATGAAAGTGCTTATCCAAGCAGATGTGCTACATACCAAATAACCGTTATTACATACTCATACAAACATTGCGCGACCGTCAGTGCTTTTACCAGGGTATCTCTCATAACGCCATCCAGCAGCAACGACCTCAGCTGCGTCCCTACAACTCACATACCCACACTATCTGGAAATGTTGACCTCAGTAGTCCTCACGATAGTCATACCCCTAGGAAGCACACTGCGCCTCTCTCCGGTATTGACCTCATGCTCCAAGATACTATCGTCACTCTCGCCCGCGAGACTCTTGGGCCTACTCAAGGCTCTTCCTCGTGAAGCCTCGCAGGTATACGTGTCCTTGCCCAGCACGGTATCCTCGGAGTACGGATCCCTTGCGCCTCCAGACATGTTTCGCATAGCAAAAGAGTCACCAGGACGCATGTCATTATGCCTCATGTACCCGTTTGAGCGGAAAGGTGTGCTGTTGCCAGTGGTGCGACCTTTAGTAGCGAGAGAACGCATTTGGCCGAAGAAGTTTGCGAAGAGGGGTTTCATGGTTGGAAGGCAGGCTGCGATGATGCCTACGTGCATCTCGACTCTGTAAGATGGGTCAGTCAAAGTGGAAGAGTGAGCTGTCAGAGGAGGATGCATACTGTTGCCAGATGTAGTACCATGCTCCATCGCCGGACCAGTCGGTTATCTTGAAGAAGTTGTATTGCATTGGCGTCTTGTAGATGGCTACTGCAGAGGCGAAGAGACCCAAGCTTAAGATGACTGCCAGACCTATGCGCGTTTGGATCGTAACTTGTAGCTTCCACACCATCGGGATGGGGATGAGGGCGAACAGCAGATCAGTGGCGATGTTGACTGAAGAGTTGAAGACGCCGACGTTTTTGAAGATACCAGAATCGTAGCATTTCGCAGTTCCAAAGACACGTTAGCGTTGTTCTCAAATGCTACTGGAAGTGAGTGAAGAGCTTACCCTGTCGGCGGACGCATGTTGAAGTCCCATCCCGCTTGTACCGGAATGCACTGGAAGATGATGGCGAATGTCGAACCAATGGTGAACACACCAATGAAGACTAATCGCATGTTAGCTGCTTATCTCTTACCACGTAGCTCACTCAGACTTACTCAACATGGCAATGAGAAATGGACGCCACTTTGTTCGGTCCGCGAGCCGTAACAAGAAGAATCCGATTGAAAGCTTGATGAAGCTGTATGCAGCGATGATGAAGATCGAGTAGAAGTACATGACTTTGAAGAAGGATAATACGTTCTCGGGTGGAAAGGCTTCGGCATGTAGTCCAAGTCCCAGGTCAATGACCTTCAGGAATAAGCCCAGGGTCGTGGAGCTTAGAGCCTGTGAAGTGACGATTAGCAACCAGCTCCCTTTGAGCAAGTTCATGCATGAGCATGGCGACTCACCAATGCAATCGCCATCATAGCATCTGTTTCAGTCAGTTCTGTTTGATACAAATGCGAATAGATCATACATACCATCCCAGCCAAATGTCTTTAGCATGAAGAGCCGCACATAGAATCGCAAGAGTATAGCGCTCGTCGACAGCGCGAACAACGAACCTTCCACCGCCATCAAGCGTCCAGCTTGATTCTCGGCCATGTACTCTGGTGATCGCGCTGGCATCACGGGTAAGCCCTCAGCCTGTCTCGCAACAAGAGCGTGATACTCCATGTTGGTGGTTGCGCGGATTGGAAGTGATGGCAAGATTGTATGTCTTGGAAGTAGGTCCCCAGACTATTAGAGTATTGCTCAGCAGCGCTTCCTGCGGGCTTCTCCAGAGTAGCACTTAGGCACATGCACACTGTGTAAACCCGAACCGCACACAAGCGAACATACATCTCAAACAGTCCTGGTTTAGGCCAGTAACAGCTCGTCGTACATGCATGGGCCGCCACTTCAATGTCGACATGGCGGCTCGGCAGGATCGTGCAGCTTGCGAATAGCCGGAATGGCGTTTCTCATGGCAAACTGACCACTCTCGTAGCGACCAGCGGCTCTGTGAGTACGAAGTTTAATCCTTCATCCTTCGATGTGCCGCGCAACTGCTACGTCTTCGGCTTCAAGATAAATGTGGTAGCATGCGCGAAGGGTTTCTCATACAAAAGCCTTCCACGCGGAATGTTTTGACGACACAGTCTTCCTGTCCATCACTCAACGTCGCGGGCGGTCCGTACCGTCCACTCAGTCATTCATGGTTAAAGCCACGATCGTTGACAAGGAAAAGATAGACTCGGGATGATCAATGCTTCTATAGGAAGACGGACTTCGAAGCCCGCCCTCTCACAGATATTGCTCGGAGGATAGCCTGAGTTGGAGGCTATGCAGGTCCACCTACTGCGCATCGAAGTAACGCGGGCTGAACGAGAACGCGATGTTTTACTAAAGGATTATTGAAGTTCGTAGCGACTTTCCTCTTCGGTCTAGTTGTCAGGCGTCCTGGTCATGGATTTTAGTCAAGACGATTGTCGTTTTACGCACGGAGATGGAGACTGCTGCACGTTGTGTAAACGAACACATCCTAGTTATCGGCAAGTCTCAGACTTCTTCCTTCCATATTGCCCAACGTTCCTGTACGACTGACCGTGATTGCTGTCTTCTGCCCATTGGCCACGAATGGGACGCAGTTTGAGTACGTCGGACAATGGTGTGTGATATTCTCGTGTTAATGCGTACTGCTTGCTTTTCGCATGCCAAAGCCATTGGTAATGAAAGTGCGAACATCGCGGCACACGAGCAAGGTCGAGTAAGCGAAGTCCGGACCTGCCGCAGACGATGTAGGTGGTAACATGTGAGATGAGTAAACGGATTGGTGGTCGGCCGGGCGCTAGACGTTCACGCTGCCGCTGCCGCTGCCGCCTCCGCGGCATGCCCTGGAATTATCCGGCCATAGCGTGTTCTCGCGGCCCGTGGACCTTATTCCCCTCCCGTTCAGAGCTGGAGCACCAGAACTCCAGACTCCTCAAAATCGACAGGGTCTCCGAGCAAGATTGTTATTAGCCACCTTAATGCGTTCTGCCTAAGCACGAGCGATGATCAGAGCTTCTATACCAGCCATTCACTGGTCGATCTGGCGCTCTCCATCGGACCATAAGCAATAAACAGAAGTTATCCGCCATGAACCTAGGGCTCTTCCCGTGAGTTCCGCACCCGGACAGCGGGCTTCGCACGATGCGGCCGGGTAAAATAAAGTGGCACTTAGCTATGGTCAAGCATCAAGATCTTGCTAAGATCGCGCTGCGATGTGTTCGCTCTCTTCCGCGATCAAACACCTTCATCAAATCGAGAAGCAAAACCCTTCAAGGAAAGCAACACGATGCCAATACATCCAGTCAGCACTCTTGTCGGGAATTGCCTGCGTGCCGGTGCGCTTCCCTCTGTAGAAAGCTACAGCCATCTTTGATGAATTTGCCGGCCCACACGGCTCGAGATGCTCCTCGTTCAGCCGCTTATACCAGGCCGCCTACAGCATCCTTCGACTACCTTCATAAACCCGTAACCGAGAACCCCGATAATCCAGCATCCAATCAAATTAAGCCGCTAACGCATCTTGCATTCAGTTACAGGTGTCAATTCCGGTCGTACATCTTCTTTCCACTCACATTTAGGGGCGAGACTCATGCGAACCCACGTGTAGCGGAGTTTAGGAAACGCCTCATCGGATCCTTCGAGGCGACCTCGGCATTTTCCAGATGCCTATTCGGTAATAGATCGTGCACAAAGGAGGTTGTCCAACCCTTTCAAACGCTTGCCGGATACCGGGCGAATAAAACTTCAGTATGGCATAAGCCCAAGGGCCACCCAACTGACTCAATGGCTACCCGGAATCAACAAACCGAGTTGATGGGTCTGTAGACAGCACGATCTGCTACGGCACAGTCATGTTGGACAGTTATTAGACTAGATGGGGCGAGTGGTAAGGTACCTCCTGCGAGTATTTGAACACGCATGCGGCCTCCAAACTTTAGCCAGGGCATCGCCACATTTTGACTACGCCTCCCCCATCTCCTAATATTAATACAGTAGTAGCTAGCTCAGGCGGCCGCTCACCCGGAAGCTTATTCAACGTCTTCGACCGTTTCAGTTCTTCCATCGTCTTCATCCTTCAAGCCTCTCAAGACAGTCGATCATCCATTTTTAACCGGTTCGAAACGCCGTCATGCGCACTGCTGCATTCCTCTGGCTTGCGCCTACAGCACTAGCGAGTGTCATTCCATCATTGGAAGAGGCTGCACCCGCTGTCACATTCGACAAGAGACAGAATGTCTCGCCAAATCTCCCCGGACCAAAGATCCTGCAGGCTGATGTGTATGCGGGTATTGCTGCCATCAACCAGCAGATCTTCCAGGCTACACAGAAGCCTGATCAGTTCAGAAAGTGCAACCCTACGAACATCATTGTTCGCAAGGAATGGTAAGTCTGTTGTATTCCATGCATCCACTGTAAGCTAATATCCCCAGGGTGACTTTTACTGAATCGGAAAAGAAAGACTACATCAACGCTGTTCAGTGTATCTCCAAGCTACCTCCTAAGACGCCCGAGTCTGAGTGCCCGGGTTGCCGGAACCGATACGATGACTTTCTTGCTACTCACATCAAGCAAACATTTGCCATTCACAACACTGGCAACTTCCTTCCATGGCACCGCTACTTCACCTATGCCTACGAGAAAACTCTCCGTGACGAGTGTGGTTACAAGGGCTATCAGCCATACTACAACTGGCCTCGATGGGCTGACGACCCGATGAAGAGCCCTGTCCTAGACGGCTCCGATACCTCGATGGGCGGTAATGGTGATGCAGGCTGCAGCAACCAGACGTTCTACGGTATCCCGACCAATCTGGAGCCTCTGATCAAGATTCCCAAGGGCACTGGCGGAGGTTGCGTGACGTCTGGTCCATTCAAGGACTGGTCTGTCAACCTTGGTCCCGTCTTCACCGACGCACTCTGCACGCCCCCGAACCCGATCAATTTCACCGGACCTAATGCTGCCAATGGTGGTCTTGGATACAACCCCCGCTGCCTGAAGCGTGACATCTCTTCTTGGTCCTCCAGCCAATGGACCAACGATGAGATGGTTGTCAAATTGCTGAACAGCCCTGACATGAAGACCTTCTGGTACGACATGCAAGGTGGTGAGAACGCATTTTCCAACAACTTCATGGGTGTGCACACTGCTGGTCACTTCACCGTGGGTGGAGACCCCGGTTCTGACTTCTTCACCTCTCCTGGTATGTTTTCCGTACTCTATTTCACGAGTATTCTGGGCTAACAATGAACAGGTGACCCTTACTTCTACTTCCATCACGCCCAGATCGACCGTGTGTGGTGGTCATGGCAGAACGTAAACCCCGCGGAAAGGACTAACGCCATCTACGGAACCATCGCCCTCGGTGACCCCACCGCTCCTGCGACCAAGCTCACCGACACTATGACTCTCGGACACGCCTACCCCGGAAACATTACTGTTGCTGATGCGATGAGCACCATGGGTGGACCTTTCTGCTACACCTACATCTAGATGCGGCTTTTGTCTTTGATTTCCTTCCTGTATATACTTGACTCGTACACGCGATTTTTGGACGGCGGGCTAGAGTCGATTTGCTGTTGACCTCAAAAATAGACCAACCATGCGTATCTCATGACAATAAAATAGATTTCCATTGAGATGATTCGTCGCCTTACACTGGGACTGAGCGCGTGACGACGGATATACGGTCATACCTAAGCCTGCTACAGACCGCACAAGCATCGCGTATCGTCACATCCAAAAAGATGGAGGAAACTAAGGCGATCTAACGCATGTTCCGCAGCGCTAAGCGGTCACCTTACCTGGGCTGCATATGTCCCGCAACGAATATGAATGGGCGGGGTCTCTCCATCCAAAGCGCGGAGACCCTGCAGTGCCAACGCATCACCGACTGGAGAAGAATCGAGGGCAATCATGTCCTCCAATCCCTCCGACCACGCCCGTTTCAAACGCTGTTTGAGATTACAGCCACCCTGAATCGGAGCGCCCTCGAAGGTTATTGGCATTTAGGATCCAGCGTCGTGGGATTTGCAGAGTTCAAGGAAGCCTTACCCCGCTAAGATTATAGCTCCCCCAACTTTCTAGATCCAGGGGACGCCCAAAGCACAACAACTGTCGCAAAGCATTACGCACATACCAGACAGCATAACTAGACAACACAAAGGCCCCGCAGAGCCCAATAGTCCATCAATCATGAACGTCGATCCTCTGACTGGCGAGCCCCTCCCTTCAACCGCCATCCAACGCATCCTCTACCTCGCGCCCAAAGTCCACATCTACCAGATCCCGCCCGCAACCTCTACCAAAGGCTACCAGGCGTCGACCTGGACAGCCGACAACAACAAGCTCCAAATCTTCACCGCCCGATTACGCGTCGTCGAAACCTCAATACCGTCCAATGAGGAGCAACAAAGCAACGAGGATGCGGAGGAGAAGGTTACAACAACTCTCCTGCTAGAGGACCCCAAGACCGGGGATCTGTTTGCCGCAGCGCCCTACACAAGTGAGAGGACAGTAGAACAAGCATTGGACAGCAGCCGCTTCTTCGCCATCACCGTCGTAGGCGAGGGAAGAAAAGCAATACTGGGCATGGGCTTCGAGGAACGCAGCGAAGCCTTTGATTTCAGCATTGCGCTGCAAGACGC